CATCAATTCAGATTGCAGTATAAACTGTTGAAAAACTGCCTTTACCAATTTGTTTAACATTTTCTAATTTATCATAAGGTATATATTCAATTACTTTATGATAATATTTAGAATTTATTTGTGCATTTTTTATAAATTGATATATTTCAGAATTTCCACTAGTTTAAAAATAAAAAAATGCGCTTTATTAATTTATGTATTTTTAATATTAATAAAAGATAAATAATGTATATTAAAAATATATTATTACCTTTTATTTAATTTATTTCTTATTAATGTTAATATAATCGGTAGGTGCAATTATAAAATATTCATGTATCATTAAATTAGTCCATAATCAACTAAATAACCGATCATATTTCTTAAACAATCTAATTCTTGTCAAATTTGCAGATTATTTAGTCTTTTGGAAATGAGTATAAAACTTATCTCCAATAGACCAAATAAACTGCAAATTTGACCTGAATTTGTTTTTTTGATATAAGTCCGGAATGAATTATGACCACCTGGGTAGCCAGCCCGTAGGTCAAATTATGGACTAAATAACGATAATAAGTAAATATTTGTATGTAATCATACTGGTATTAGGGTCACATGGGCCGATCAGATCTGGAATTTTGCGGATCATTTGATATCATTACTGCGGATTGTCATCAAAATGCCATCAGAATGAATTTCTCAACAACTAACAAATCTAATTGGCTAAAATTTTTATATTTGATAAATAATATATTTGGCTATAGCATATAAAAATTTCAGCCTATTTGGATTTGTTGTGAGTAACTGCTTAAAAAATAAAAGTGATTTGGATAAAATACTTTTCTATAGTATTTAAGCAATAACTCAAGAAATGCTGATCCAAAATTATGATTTTCTCAACAAATACTAATCCAAATTAGGTAAAATTTTTATAGTAATTATATATGATATTGGGCTAACTATATATAAATTGCAATCAATTTGAATTAGCAGATCTGGAGTTATTGCTTAAAAACTATAAATAATTATTTTAATCAAATTATTTATAATTATTAGGTAATAGCTCAAGAACTACAGGTCCAAATTTGCTAAAAATTCTATAGTTGTTAGATATGACATTTATATATAATATATTTAAACTTTAATAGCCAGATATTAGTATAAATTTAAAAAATGTGTAGTAATAAAAATTTAAAATAAAAAAATTTATAATATTGCTTGCATCATTTTGATAGTAAATTTCTTAATAACTGCTAATCAAAATTGGATATAATTTTTAAAGTATATTGATATAATATTTGGCAATAATAGTTAAATGTTTCAGGAAATTTGGATTAGTGAGTGCTAAGTTATTGCTTAAAACCTATAATTAATTTAGCTAAATAATTGTCTATCAATTCTAAATGTTTACTCAAGAATTACTAATTCAAATTAGTTGAAATTTTAATAGTTTATTGCTCAATATCCTATTTAACTATTATAAAAATTTTATCCTATTTGGATAAGTAGTTATTGAGAAAAAACATAGCCAGTAATTAATATAATATATAATTAATTAATTAATTAATTAATAATAATTCAACTATATATATATAATTTTACTAACTAATAAACTAATATTAAAATTTATTTAAATATAGGTTATAAAAAATTACATTTTAATAAATCTAAGTTTACCTGTTTCACTATTTGCAGTTTTTAGTACTATGATAAAATTTTTCATTTTTTTGTGATAATGGTAAAATTGGTTGTTGATCAAATTTTATATATAATCTTTCATTTAAAATTTCAAATAATCTATTATTATTTAAATGATTATGTGCTAATTTATAACTATCTAAATATTTTAATTTATTCCATCCTTGATTTTTTGTTAAAACTACTTTTAAATAATCAAAATGCATTCGAAATCTTTCTTGTTTAGTTTTATTTGTAAAACACCTTTTTAATGTTGAAAAGGAATAATTAGAATTTGTTAAATATATTTATAGATAATTTATTATATGAAGTGAATGGTGTAATAATAAATTTTTCAGATATTAATTTAATACAATCTTCGATAAAAAATGACCAAATTGTATTAACCAACAAATTCATTTGATCATCAAATCTATTTGTAACTTTAATAATATCAATTAAATTTTTAAGTTGATTTTCTTCTTCAGGAGTAATATTTTTATATGTAGGAGAAGTAATTCTTGTTGATAATTGTTGTTGATTATCTTGTAAAGGTATATTAATAATACAATTATCAATATCAAAGATATCTGGTAATAACCAAGCTACATTAGATTTTTCTATAATTTGGTATAATTCTAAAGTTCCAACATTATTTGCATTGTCATAATTTGAATCACCAAAATATTGCTTAACAAAAGGTATTGCATTAATATTTTGGTTAATTGATTTCATTAAAATAACTAAACAAATTCTAAAATGTTTGTGATTTTCTGTAAGTTGTGGTAATGAAATATTCAAAGAATGATTGTAGGTATTTAAAAGAGTTTTAAGTTTTGCAGTTTTAAATTTTAACATATCCTGAGTTGGGATAATATAAAAAGGATTAGAATTAAGAAAATTAGGTAATTTATTTAATAATATGGTTAAAAAATTATTTAAAATAGAATAACTAATTCTATATTCTAATCTTGCTCCATAATTCATATTAATATTTTCATTAAATAAATCAAATGAATTAGTGCAAGCATTTTGAACTTTTTCAAAGTTATATACAGCATCTGTTTCATTTAAATCTGCTAAAAGTGTTTGTATTGAAGATGTAAAGACTTCTTTTTCGACATGGTAAGCTTATGCATAGAAAATATTATACAAAATTCCATGTCGTTTAGCTTCTCCAACAGTACCAGAGATATCGTAAGTATAGGCCCAATTATTGATTCTTGAATTTGTAAGATTAGTTAAAAAAGTAACACCAATTCCATATAAAAGATTTATAACAGTGTTTCTTTTCCAATAAATAGAATTAAAAGAAGTAGTATCAGGAGAAATAAATTCAATACCGAAATCTAATTTAATAGAATTTTGCCAATCAGAATTTGGATTCATTGAAAAATTTTTAAAAATAAAATCTAAAGATTTTTGTAATTCAGAATTATTTGAAAATTTAGTAAAAAGTTTGAGGTTTTTAGAATAAATGTGGAAAAAAAAATTTTTATATTTGAGTAAATTAGGAGTTGAATCAATTATATTGTTTATAGCATTTGTAAGATTAGATAAATATGTTTGATGAAGAGGATATGAAGAAAATATTTGGGTTTTACTTTTTGATTTGAGACGATAAGATTTAAAAGAAGCAGGGTAATGTTGCAAAATATCATTAGGACAATTAATAATTTTTAAAGCAGGTAAAAATATTTTGTCATACCAAATTTCTAAATTATCATCAATTATAAAATTTATTTAAGATCTATAAATATACATTTTTGGAAAAAAAAGTAAAATTTTGAAAACACCACAATCTCCAAATTGTCCAAATTGCAGATGTGGAATATTTATCATTTTAGCTTTTCTTCTAATATTATTTTGATCAAGAATATCACAATATTCATGATTGTGATGTTTTAAATTCCATATTTGATTTGTGAATAGAAAAAATTAAATAGGAGCATTAATAATATTTAAAGAATGTATATTTAATAAAAAAGAATCTAAGTCAAATTTATATAAAATATTAGATAAATTTAGTTCATAATTTGAAAAATTAATTTGTGGAAAAATAAAATTTCCTGCATTATCAAAAGCATTATCTGATGAAGAATTAGATAAAGCATTTTTAATATCAGATAATGAAAAATTATCTACAGTTGCAGGTAAAAGAAAAGTTTCTAAATATTGTAATAAAGAATAAGAAGGACCAAGTCTAACTGGAGAAGAAATAGTAGGTCCAGAAGTAGTAAGAATACAATTTTCGAGAGAATTAATATTAGTATCCTCAACATCGCTCATATTATCATCATTATTATCATTATCATCATTCATAGAATTATCAATATTACTTATTTCATTATTGGTAACATTATTTAAAATGTTTTCAACATCACTATAAGTAATTGTTTCATCAAAATCACTAGTAATAGTGTTATCAGACTCATTTTCAAAAAGTTCAGAATCAATAATAGATTCATTAATTTGAGAATTATTATAGTAAGACATTGTAATTGAATAAGTTTTAATTTGTAAAATTTAAAGTGTTTATTTTATAAAAATGTTATATAAATAATTTGTAAATTTTAGAAAAAAAATAATGATAAAAAATTACCTCTTTTTATAAAAAAATTTAGGAATTTAAACTCCACAAAATTAATATATTTATAGTTAAAATTGGAATTTTTATTCCAATTAAAATTCCTAATTATGAATAAATTAGGAGTTTTAATTCCCTAGAATTCTATCAAAATTAACTAATTCCAGTAAAATTAAAATTCCTATTCTAAATAAAATAAGGAGTTTTAATTTCCTAGAATTCTATCAAAATTAACTAATTCCGGTAAAATTAAAATTCCTATTCTAAATAAATAAGGAGTTTTAATTCCACCGGATTTATATTTATTTTAATGGAATTAAAATTCCTAATTTCAAATAAAATTAGGAATTTTAATTTCACCGGAGTTAGATTAATTTTGATAGAATTCCAGTGGAATTAAAACT